AATCGATCTTGGGCACCAGCAGAAAAGGCTTTCCTACTCCGACCGGTGATGCTTCCTCCTTGGATGTGACTCCCTGCTGTCCAGCTTCTTCACTGCCTCCTCCCCTTCAGCTGGGGATTCGACCACGTATGGAGTAACTAATACAATAGGGACCTCCTTAGCATCCTCAAGCAGTTGCTGCTGCTCTGATTGTACAGACTCTTTCTTCATAACTGTGAGATGCACAGATGTTACCGCATCAGCCCGGGGCTCAGGCTCCTCTTTCTGTGGTTGGCAGATTGTCCCAGAAGAGCCAGTGTTTCTACTAATTTCAGCTTCTGCCAGCGATCCAACTCCTGGGGATAAAACAATATTTTCTCGACTGTTTTGAAAAGCCCGTTTATTACAGATGACCATTACGCCACTCACTAATAATAAAAATGAAGCAATATAGCCAACATAAATAGCAGCTCCAATCTCCTGGTACATTGGGGAAGTAGGCATTTTGAAAGACTCGGGAAACCTAATGTCTGCATTAATAAAGATGGAATAAGTGTTCCAGGAAATGGGAATTAAGATTATGATTCCTGTTAGGAAATTAATAAGGCCTCCAACATTAAAAAGAGTGAGCAAAAAAGTTTTGTGTGTTATGGTTCTGACAACATTCCACAAGGCAAAGCTCATGAACGTTATCCCCACGGCTCCCACGATGCAACACAAGCTCAGCAGATCTTGAGCCAGAAAAATTTCATTGGGCAGCATCTTCAGGTCTTCAGTGAAGTCCTCACAGTGGATGTATCTGTTTTCTGGGTGAGTGCTGTGCAGATAGCAGGCTCTCCAGATTCCGATCCATAACAAGCCAGGATACAAGTTGTCCTTACTTTTAACATGCCACACTCTCCAGTGATCAGTGGCTGTTGAGGTAATACACAGGATCCATCCTAAGATACTAAGCAAATAACCACCAAACTGGGCCCTATTAATCCAGACCGACCATTTTGTAATCATGGATTCTGTTTCACTTGGTATTTGCTGGTTAAGTGATTTATTGGTCATGTATATGAACTTTGAACTGTTGAAATAAAATCAAAACAAAATAATTCAACATATAGTCTATGTATGCTATTATTCTGACACTTGTACACAAATACATGAATAATCTAGAGGTCTAAAGGGCATTCATCACTGATTCTATTGGAAGTAAATTTCTCCAACTGATTTATTAGCAGTATATGTTTATTTATTAATCAAATTTATATGCCACCCATTATACTATCTAAGTGACTGAATGGTTTACAAAGGATAAATATTGTTTTTCCCATTCAAATCTCTGAAAATATTGAAGTTGCTTATAAAAAAGCAGGGGATTTAAAAGGTTTAAATCAAATATGTTGGCATTAAAATAATACTCAGCCAATTGTCAAGGAAAAAGCAAGACGTTACATTAACAGTTAAAGAACTTCAAGAGATGTCTACAAATGTCAGATATGTTATTGTGGAACGGAGGCTAATATTTTTACAGAATTGTCAGAAGACATGCTGGTCTGAAGAAACTACGTTGTATACATTTCTAATCTCATGAGCTAGACCAGCAGTGGCTAACCTTTTGGGCACCAAGTGCCCAAAGCGCATGCGTGCATGCGCATCCCCAAAATGCAATGTGCGCGTGTCCCTGCACATGCATGCACATCCCACACATGTTCCCCGTGCACGGGCACATGTCTCCCCACACATACGTGTGCACCCTGTGCATATACCACCACCCCGTGCATGCACAGCAGAGTCCCAAAGACCAGTTGGCTGGCAGGAGGCGCGTTTGCAGAGCTGAGCTGGGGCACCTCTGGCACCCGTGCTGTAAGTTCGGCATCACAGAGCTAGGCTGGAGCTTGAGAATTGTATGCAGGAAGGCCTCTGCTATGCTAAAAAATGGTCTGAGCCCAAATTTGCTGATATGATAGCTACTCAAGAGACAACCCCTAGGAACTAGGACCATAAAAGGTAATTTGTAAATAAGGGCCAGGGGGCGATAGAATTAGAGGAATGGGAGATGTCATCAGGGGTGGAGATCATGTATTCACTTTAGATGCTTTGGATAGGTTCTGACGTCATGAGGATTAAGCCAAAAGGTGGGAGGTAAATTTGTTAACAGCAATGGGGAATATAAGGTAAACATATTGATGATTTAGAGCAGTGATGATGGTTAACCTTTTTGTCATCGCATGCCGAAAATGTGCATGTGTGGCGCATGCGTGCCTACACCCATAATGCAATGCACGTGCACACACACACACACACACCTGTGCATGTGCGTGCACCTTCCCCCACACACCACGCCCCCCCCCCCCGCATACGCAGCCGATACCCAACAATCAGTTGGCTGGCAGGAGGCACGTGCGCATGCTCGGTGGATCTGATCACGGCTCACGTGCCGGCAGAAATGGCTCTGCATGCCACTTCAGCACACATGCCATCGGTTCGCCATCACGGATTTAGGGTGTCTCCACTGTAGCTGCGTGTGCGTGGTCCACCTCTTTGCAAAGTGATGACTAAAATTGCATTGTTTTCTCTTGGAAGTTTTGGCCAGTGATATTTTTATTTCTAAACTAGATATCTTATGAATAAGAAAACTGACGAAATCCTGCCCCCATCAACATACTGTAGTTTAATTATTATTTCTACATACTACAAATTGAACAGGATATATTTTTAAGTGTTAAATACAAACCCTACTTAGAATAACAATAACAGTTCACATAAATGGAAGCCACCTACCTTGTAGCCAGAAGATTTTCATTACTCCTCATTTGAAAATATCTTAGACTATGAACTATGTTAGTGACTGTAAGTTTGCTGAAACAAAACAAAACAGAATAGTTTAGCTTTCACTTAGATAGTTGCATGTGCATGTGTGATCCCTGAGACCACACAAGCAAGATTATGACACAGTAGGAACAATTTCCTTTGGATAAATATCTGTCATAGTTGTCACAAATAGTTCTTCTAAACTGTACCAATGTTTTTCAACCTCAACAATTTTCTACCCAAACATTTTTATTAGGTTATAAACTATTATAAAATGCAAAATACTAAATAAAAGAGCAGTGAAAAGGATGGGAAAGGGGGAGAGAAAGCAGTGAGGAAAGGTAGGGGGGAAAACTCAACAATTTTAAATGCAGTATAGTTTGATTGAGCTGGTATTGCCGTAGCAGATAGTTTGTGCAATAGCACTGGAATTATACACTGCTCAAAAAAATAAAGGGAACACAAAAATAAGACATCCTAGATCTCAATGAATGAAGTATTCTTATTAAATACTTTGTTCATTACATAGTTGAATGTGCTGACAACAAAATCACACAAAAATTATCAATGGAAATCAAATTTAGCAACCCACGGAGGTCTGGATTTGGAGTTACACTCAAAATTAAAGTGGAAAAAAACACTACAGGCTGATCCAACTTTGATGTAATGTCCTTAAAACGAGTCAAAATGAGGCTCAGTAGTGTGTGTGGCCTCCACGTGCCTGTATGACCTCCCTACAACGCCTGGACATGCTTCTGATGAGGTGGCGGATGGTCTCCTGAGGGATCTCCTCCCACACCTGGACTAAAGCATCCCCCAACTCCTGGACAGTCTGTGGTGCAACGTGGCGTTGGTGGATGGAGCGAGACATGATGTCCCAGATGTGCTCAATTGGATTCAGGTCTGGGGAACGGGTGGGCCAGTCCATAGCATCAATGCCTTCGTCTTGCAGGAATTGCTGACACACTCCAGCCACATGATGTCTAGCATTGTCTTGCATTAGGAGGAACCCAGGGCCAACCGCACCAGCATATGGTCTCACAAGGGGTCTGAGGATCTCATCTCGGTACCTAATGGCAGTCAGGCTACCTCTGGCGAGCACATGGAGGGCTGTGCGGCCCCCTAAAGAAATGCCATCCCACCCCATTACTGACCCACTGCCAAACCGGTCATGCTGGAGGATGTTGCAGGCAGCAGAACGTTCTCCACGGCGTCTCCAGACCCTGTCACGCCTGTCACATGTGCTCAGTGGGAACCTGCTTTCATCTGTGAAGAGCACAGGGTACCAGTGGCAAATTTGCCAATCTTGGTGTTCTCTGGCAAATGGCAAACGTCCTGCACGGTGTTGGGCTGTAAGCACAACCCCCACCTGTGGACGTCGGGCCCTCATACCACCCTCATGGAGTCTGTTTCTGACCGTTTGAGCAGCCACATGCACAGTTGTGGCCCACTGGAGGTCATTTTTCAGGGCTCTGGCAGTGCTCCTCCTGTCCCTCCTTGCACAAAGGCGGAGGTAGTGGTCCTGATGCTGGGTTGTTGCCCTCTTACGGCCCCCTCCATGTCTCCTGATGTACTGGCCTGTCTCCTGGTAGCGCCTCCATGCTCTGGACACTACGCTGACAGACACAGCAAACCTTCTTGCCACAGCTCGCATTGATGTGCCATCCTGGATGAGCTGCACTACCTGAGCCACTTGTGTGGGTTGTAGACTCCGTCTCATGCTACCACTAGAGTGAAAGCACCGCCAGCATTCAAAAGTGACCAAACCATCAGCCAGAAAGCGTAGGAACTGAGAAGTGGTCTGTGGTCACCACCTGCAGAACCACTCCTTTATTGGGGATGTCTTGCTAACTGCCTCTGCTTTCCACCTGTTGTCTATTCCATTTGCACAACAGCATGTGAAATTGATTGTCAGTCAGTGTTGCTACCTAAGTGGACAGTTTGATTTCACAGAAGTGTGATTGACTTGGAGTTACATTGTGTTGTTTAAGTGTTCCCTTTATTTTTTGAGCAGTGTATTTGAAGTAAAAAGTGATATACCCTCAATTGGTGATCACAGACAGATAATTGCAGCTGTCTCTCACAGTCTCCAATGCCGAATGACCAGCATCTCTTCTATTCTTCTCTGAAACTTCCATTTTCAACTGTCACTGAGCATTCCAACTGTCACTTCTCAACTGACAAACCACAGAATTCCAATGACCAATCTCAATGAACAGTTTCCATCTTTCTTTCAAATTAACGCAGACATTTATATACAAACAAAATAAACTAATTCAATAGATGTAAAATGGTATGCTAAATGTCTTCTTCAGGTCTTCAAATTAAAAGAGATGAAGGGACCTTGTAGAGCATCTAGTCCAACCCCCTGCCCAAGCAGGAGACTCTACACCATTTCTGACAATTGGCACCAAGCGATGAACCTCCCACAACTTCCGAAGGCAACTTCTGTTCCATGGGTTGACTGTTCTCACTGTCAGAAAATTTCTCCTTATTTCCAGGTTGAATCTCTCCTTGTTCAGTTTCCATCCATTATTCCTTGTCTGGCCTTTGGGTGTCTTGGAAAATAGCTTGACTCCCCTCCTCCTCTCTGTGGCAGCCCCTCAAATATTGGAAGGCTGCTCTCCTGTCTCCCTTGGTCCTTCTCTTCCCTTGACCAGCCGTGCCCAGTTCCTGCAACCGTTCTTCATATGTTTTAATCTCCAGAACATCCTGGTTGCTCTTCTCTGCACTCTTTCCAGAGTCTCTACATCTTTTTTATAGTGTGGTGACCAAAACTGGATGTTCTATCTTGCTTGACCTTCAATCTGCCAGTTTGAGCTAGCTTTTTATCTCCACTGAATTCCCTTCTAAAGCAATTTAAAAGTACAAAATGTTGCAAAGAGATGCTTTACAACAAACCAAAGGGATCAAAATGTATAAGAAAGAGCTGAAAAGAAAGAAGAAAACAGTGAAGAAGAGAAAAGTAGGCTGGAGGTGTACACTTTGGCTTATAAATTTATTCTAAATAAATTTCCAAATAATGTATAACTGTCTGATTTGGTACAGTGACCAAACAGGGCAAGTATGGACTCCGACAGATAGTCAAAACTGCAAAAAGAACAATAGCAACGGCACTTAGCCTTATATACCGATTTAAAGCTCTCTCTATGCAATTTTACAGTTAGCATATTGCCTCCAGCACTCTGGGTCCTCATTTTACGACCTTGGAAGGATAGAAGGCCGAGTCAACCTCAAGACAGTGAGAATTAAACTGCT